GTGTACATGAATGAATGAATGAATGAATGAGAAGGTGTAAACTTACCAGTGAATAATAATGAATTGTACAGTAAGTTCAGTTTAGCAGCCAAGAAATAAACAACAATTGCAGCTTGGTTATAAATCCTAATACATTGTAAATAGAAGTATTTTGTTGGAAAAGTTTGAATGAAATCTCTAGTAAATGAACAATGCAAAGATAAAGAGCTCGACTTATTTAAGAAATATAAAAAAAGACAAACATTTGTTGTACCTGAATGAATGAAAAGGTTTGAACATACCTTTGATTAATATGACAGCAAATTTACTTTTGAGAAAATCAGCTGTTTGCAAGATATATCTCTAGGAAAACATTCTTAGCTTTCTGAATGAAATGAACTAAGTTCTAAATTGGCAGCAGAGGTAATTACCATACCACTGTTTTGATGTTTACATAGTTTAATATATCAGAAAAATTAAAAGGTCTACTCCATGGCATGTTTGAGATATTACAAGGTATAACTCACATGTGGGCTTTAGATGAACATTCAGTGTTTCATAAACAGACCTTGTTTTTAAAGTGTAAAATTATATTATCCCATTAGAGAATAAGATCAACTTTGATCAGGCACACAAGTAATCACTTAAGAATGTGGGTACCTGTAAAGTGCGAAACGAAATAGAAACGAAACGAAACGAAACGAACTGAAACAAAACGAAATCTGCCGAAACGAAACGAAATCTACCGAAAGGAAACGAAACCTACCGAAACGAAACGAAATCAAGACGAAACGAAAACGAAACCTGCCGAAACTAAACAAAACCATCAAAATGTTTTTTTTCAAATCAAGGTACATGTATATAATTATAAATGTGTAACTGCATGTGGACTTTTTTTTCACTTCAAATGAAATTTATATAGTTCATGCACTTGTTAATATAAAATTTGATAACCGATAAATTTTGCTCCCTTCTCAGTCTTATGATGTATTTACCTGTTTGCAAGCTGCAAATATGCATGACCGTACTATGCATGTATAATTTCAATATGTGCAGTATTTTCTAATTTTTATATCTTACTCTTATTTTCAGTCCTTATTTATCTAGATACAACATATCTATCAACATTAATGCGTTACATGTAAAGGCTCGTTTATGTACGGGTCGAAATAAAGTCACTGTACTGTTGTACTGCGAATGTCTTAAAACCTAGGAAAAACCAGAAACTTAGAGTATTTAGTATCCCATTCCGAGGTGTCTGGTTTTATAGTTCAATTATACATGTAACTCCAACCGGAATCTTGTGTATCCATTCTACATATATATTTTTATGTATATATTTTTATGTCATATTTTTATCGGGTAATTTTCGAGAAAGAAAGGAGTGGTTTGCAATAAAGAGGCTCCACCAGAGACGTCTAAAACGATTTAACAGACAAGAAAAAAGTTTCTCAAAGCGAACGGTGTCATTTTTAAGTAGGTAAATTAGTCAGTAAGATATTAACAAAATATAACAAAGGCGTCGGAAGCGGGGGGGAGGGGGGGGGGGGGTTACCACCCACCCCCTACTTTTTTGTAAAGATGTTTATTACATAGGCATTGAAAATTTGGGTTGACCTTTTTTTTTGGTAACCCCCCCCCCCTTTCAATTTCATTCCGACGCTTATGTATCAGCTTGAAGCGAAACAATTGCCTGTGGTGCTTGAACTATATAAATTTCATATGAAATAAATAGACCATATGCAGTTACACATTATATAAACAGCATGTAACTATACATGTATATGCATGTACCTTGATTTGAAAAACATTCTGAAAAGTTTTGTTTCGTTTCGTTTTGGAAGGTTTCGTTTTGATTTCGTTTCGTTTCGTCTTCATTTCGTTTCGTTTCGGTAGGTTTCGTTTCGTTTCGGTAGGTTTCGTTTTGTTTCGGCAGATTTCGTTTCGTTTCAGTTCGTTTCGTTTCGTTTCGTTTCTATTTCGTTTCGCACTTTACAGGTACCCTACATGTATATACATGTACCTTGATTTGAATGAATGAATATTGTTTAACGTCCCTCTCCAGAATATTTCACTGATATGGAGACGTCACCATTGCCGGTGAAGGGCTGCAAATTTTGGCCTATGCTCGGCACTCAGGGCCTTTGAGCAGGGAGGGATCTTTATCGTGCCACACCTGCTGTGACAAGGGGCCTCGGTTTATACGGTCTCATCCGAAGGACCGCCCCATTTAGTCGCCTTTTACGACAAGCAAGGGGGTACTGAGGACCTATTCTAACCCGGATCCTCACGGGGCACCTTGATTTGAAAAACATTCTGAAAAGTTTTGTTTCGTTTCGTTTTGGAAGATTTCGTTTTGATTTCGTTTCGTTTCGTCTTGATTTCGTTTCGTTTATGTAGGTTTCGTTTCGTTTCGGTAGATTTCGTTTCGTTTCAGTTCGTTTCGTTTCGTTTCGTTTCTATTTCGTTACAGGTACCCTTAGAATGTAACATCATTGTGGATTTCATTTCAAAATACATAAATAGTTTTTAAAGAGTAAAAGATTACAAAGCTCTAAAGTTGCAATGATTTAAATCTGATTATTTATTAGGAGATTGTGATAGAATGTCTTTCAGGTTTCTGAGAAATAAGTTTTTTCCTCCATGCTTTTTACAATATCCTCCCAAAATTTCCTCCTTTCCTCTCGCTCCTTATTCCGGTCCTCCTTCTGCTCCTTCTAATAGTATTCGAACCATCCTGGTATTTGCTTGATGGTCTTCTTTTGTATTTATGTGCATGTTTCGGGATGTGATGTGTCCTTCTTTTTCTTAAGGTTGTTGATAGACCATTATTATCTGTAAAGAGTAAACAATAAGTTGCATGTTCTTAAATACATGTGTAATTTAACTGATACCACATTTTTGAGTTTCATTGGAATAGAATTTATCGATTGTATGTTTTTAACGTCCCTCTCGAGAATTTTTCACTTATATGGAGACGCCTCCCCTTGCCGGTGGAGGGCTACAAATTTTGTCCTATGGTCGGCACTCGGGGCCTTTGAGCAGTGAGGGATCGTTTTCGTGCCAGCACCTACTGTGACACGGGGTATCAGTTTCACATGTCTCACCCGAAGGACCAGGGTCTCAACATCCCAAAGTGGGATTCGAACCCGCGACGTAAGGATTCACTCCTTACTTCGCGACTCCAGAGCAGACGCTCTAACCACTGCGCCACATGGTCGACTTAGAGTTGGTCACATTATCAAATTTGTTAATGTCAGAAGTACTCTATAAAAACAGTACGAAAAAAATTTAAACGCTTGACAAAAAGATGAAAAAAAATGTTTTCACATGAACTGCTGGTAGCTGTAGGTTATGTTGATCTATCTTTGTGCAGAAGTTATTTTTTTTTCCAAATTAACCTAGGTGGAACTGCCTGCTCCAGATTTCCCCATGCTGTCTTTGATAGACCTGTAGCTAACAAAATATAACTTTAATGAAAAATAAAATAAGGAGATAAAGGAGTAAATTTAAACCATTTAAAACTGAATACGTAGCTTTATTTGTAGCAATTAAGATAAATTTGCATAACTGTATTTAATTGTTGTTGCTTTAACATGCTATAATTGAAGTCTAAAAAAGTTATATTTTCAAATCATCTCTATATGCACGACTTAAGCAAAAAAAAATCTTGATTTGTATTAGGCATTGAATGAACATTTTTTTGTTCATTTTCCCTCAAATGCCAATAAATGTAGCAACTATAATAATTAAAATTATAATTATGCAGATAATGACTTAATACTTGAAAGGACTGAAAACTACAAAAAGATGAAGTGAATTTAAGCAATCGTCTAATGTGGATTTCACATAGCTAAGCATTAATCAATGAGACTTTCATTTGAATCTTAATCTGGTTATTATATTTACATGTTACAATTCACATGAATAAATACTATCCGGTATCTCAGTCTCTTTGATGACATCTGACTCTATAAGAGATTCTCTTATCTTGTCAATGAATTCCTGATCTGAAATATCATGTAGTGAATATCATGATTACAAATTATTCTAAACAATCAAACATGATATAAAGTGTAACGTACAACGCGGCCAAGCTTGGTATTTGGTGATATGTCTTGTGTCAACGAGGCGTTACACTTAGGTTCGTTAACCTGTTAACTCAGGTTTTTGTTGAGCAAATAAAATATATACAAACACAATACAATAATACAATGGGTTTCTCCTTGACTGGACAACCACTAACTGTGGTCAACGGGTGTCTCCCGTAAGTAAATTTCTTCTTGCCCTGCCTCTTCGTTATAACAGATGCATCTTTGCACTTCCCCCAACTCTAATTGTGGTATGAAACCTCTCTCTACAACCAAGTGACTGCCTTTTCCAGGTTTTACGTGCTTTGGTGTACTGTGAAACACTTATCTGATTATCCCCTGCAACCGTCTGGCTTATTCAGGTCTTACGACCGTATGTAAGAGAAAAAACAAATTATTGTTTATCCACTCCGTAACCAGAGAGGTCCCCTGAGTTCCTGTAATACAACATGTATTACCTCAGTGCAGCCCCAGTACATAGGCAGTTTCATACTACATGTACTTGTATGATCTGAGAATTAATATTTTTTAGTGTTTAATACCAATTCTACGTAAATATCAAAATGACGTGGCCACGCGATGTCTTCGATTCAGCTATTTTTTTTCTTACTGAAACTTCAATGAATGAAAAGATTGACTATATGAAAGAAAGCATGGTAGTTTATCCGGTTGCCATGGGAACGGGGCTAGAAGGTGTAAATTATAGTGGATTTTGCTATTTATCAATAATATCAAAAAAATATTTACTAGACAAAGCTGTTTATGTTCATATTTTTTTATATCCTTCATGACAATCAAAACTATGTAAAAAATAGCCAAGGTCACAAAAATTTTACAATTTCTAATTTTCTGATGCCCAAAAAGTGAATAATTAGTCCTTGTTACCTCCCTAGTTAGACTTAATATTTAAAGACTTTGACAAGTGATGTGAAAATTCTAGTAGGAAGATTTTGATTCAAGAAATGTTATTTTGCAAATATCATTTAAAACATTTATGGGTAAATGAAAAATAAACATTTTATTACACTATAAAGTTGGTCTAAATGTGCTTTTTCTCTATCCGAGTTATTTCCCTTGTTGGAGCTCTTCGGTATTGAAGAATACAAAATGTGTAAATTGTAAACAAGATGGCAGACAATGAAATCTGCAGTTTTTCTTCTTGTTTTGAAACATCTTGTTCAGGAAAATTCTACCTCAAGAGACTCAGAGTTTGATGAAAAACAGTTGACAAAGTTGGGATAACCTTTAAGAAAAGCCAAAGAGTTGATCTGGACATGACGAGTATTACACGTATAGCTACTCGTAGAAAAGAAAATATGAGGAAAGCAGGGTGGTATGGGGGCGAAGGCCGAGAAGATTTTAGCTGTTCCCTTCAAGATGTCTTTGAAATAGAGATCGAGAGATAAATGTAGTGGTGTGGTAGTCCCCGACCGATCCCGATTACAATGTGTAAGTATTTTTTTTATTCATAATTTTATTCAGGTGTCACATGTACCTGCATGGTATAACTGATAACCCGAGATTCCTTTGACTCTAACTCCCGCTTTTATATTGTGACTTGTGCGCACAAGTTACAATATAAAAGCAGGGGTTAGAGTCAGAGGAATCTCGGATTAGGTAACTGACTGTATAATGAAATATAAGACAACAAAAACAAACAAAACCATGAAAACTTGGATGCACAGTTGCACATATTACATGTACATGACATTGAATCAAATACTACTGTGCAATATATGTGCCTGTTTTGGGTACTGCCACTGGTATTTTATTTTCTATAAAATTCAGTTTATTTGAAGAAAATTGTTTGTATGAATTTATTTTTCCAAGTGATAATATGCTTGTGTCCAATCTATTTTTACAAACAGGATTTGTAGAAATCATACCTCGGAAATATTAAACCTTTGACTTCTGACAATGATAACTGAATAGTGTGTTAGATTTTTTGAAATTTTAAGCAATATCAGGACTGTAGAATATTTTAAAGAATTGATTAAAAAAAGTGTAAGTGTAAAATTATGAAAGTACATGCAGACACACAGATTTACAGATGCTAATAGTGTTCTAGATCTAAGTACATATACTTTGTCATACTATTGTGAAATCATTTTTGGGACCTTGATACAATGAATTTATTTGCTCTGCAAGGTGATGTATTGTAAAGTAGGTAAAGAAATCTATCCAAGGGTGTTAGAATATGGCAACTCCATTTGTACTTTCCAAGATGCAGCTTTCTGTCGCATAATTTTATTTTACTGATCACTGTTTTTCAGCTATATATTGCAGGCATATCAATCTTGCACACATTTTAAATATGAATAGATTTAGTTTGACAATATTGATCTGTACAGATGAGATCAGTCTGATGCTGTGTACTTTACATGTTAAGGACATATTGTACAAATTAAAAATAGTCGCATTAAACAGTTAAAGAACAAAATAAATTATACCACATTACGTTGGTATCCATATAACATGTATGTTTTTATTACAATTAATTTATGATATAAATACATTTCATTTTCCACTTTAGAAATTAATAGTTGTCAAATTCATTTCTACTCTTAGTCTCTATATCTCTGGCGATTTGTCCAAACTGCAGAAAAGCTTTATATGTAAATTGCAAAAAAAAATGCTTGATGACAACATTAAATCCACTCCTTTATCAATCATTCCTCTTGATTCAGAAAATTTTCAGGATAACATGTAAATATTAGGTACATGTAATATATATATATATATATATATGATGTTCAGGATTTTAACCCAAACTTTCAAATTAAAAAATAATATTAAATTGATCATTGCAGCCCTTGCAAGATTATCCTAATGAAGATTCTCAGGATTACAGATCTTCTAGCAAGGAGACCACACAGGTACATGTAGTGTGTATTAAGTTGCATGGATTCATGGTGACTTAAGACATGATTGCAACAACAATGCTTACAGGGAGATAATAATGTTTATAGGTTGAAAATGTATATGTTTTATATATAGCAAAATTTTAAGATTCCAGTTTTAAGTTTTTGAAACAATTTTTAAATGAATTTTTATCCAAAGTGACCAAAAATTAATGTTTTTTTTTTTTACTTTCATGTGAACAGATAGAAATGACCAGAGCAGAAGGCATACAGCCCCCCCCCCCCCCCAAAAAAAAAAAAAAAAATTCACAGTGGACTGGAAGTAAATTTAACATGAAAAATACTAAGAAGGAAAAATAACAGAAAGAAAAGAGGATCCAGTAAAAGTTGTCACTGGTGCAAGATGGACATAGAGAGGGTTTTCTAATGATCATTACTAAAATCCACAGCAAATTAATACTGCAAGGCTGAGCTACTTTTCAAACTTACACAAAAGGACATAAAGAAATGTGAATTTGAGGAAACCAAGCTGACATCAAATGAGAGAATATGAAGGAACAAATTTTAGCAAAATTTCTTTTTTAAGCAGGGCATTTGTTTTCCTTAGAGAATATGTGTATTCTTAATTGATTTCTTGTATTTTTCAAAAAATGTCACTGTTTAAGTGAAGCATCGATCCAATTAATGTCTTGTTTATTTTTTTCTATAAAAGCAGTTTTATGCAAAGAAGCAGTTTCTTCCCTTTATATATACTGTATACAGGGATATTTTCGCCCCGTTTAATTTTCGCCCTTTCACACTTGCAAACAATTTTGCCCTGTCTTAAATTTGCCCAGTCATAGTTTTATTAAAGAAGTTATGCTGTATAATTTCATTTCGCCCCGTTTTAAATTCGCAAAATGAGGGTAGGGCGAAGGGGCAAAAATAATACGGGGGCAAAAATTTCCCTGTATACAGTACCCTCTCTGCAGAAGAGGTGGTATACTGATTTATTATATACCCCTACATGGGCTCACAAATTTAGAGTTTTATAATGGCAGGCTTCACACAGTATGTCATGTATGATTAGAATATACAGATATATATGAATACATTTTAACAAAACTTAGAACAAGATTAATTGTGAAACACTGATTCCCCCATACAATGCAGCTTATGTCAAGACTCCCACGAGGTATCCCAAGAAAGGTCTTGCCACAAGTAAAACACCTGTGAAATATGAAAATCTAGCCCAACTTCAAAAGTTGTGGTTAAGGTTAAAGTTTTTTTAAGGCATTCAATGTCTAAGGTCAAGGTCAAATGGATAAAAATATTTATACCCATTAAAAGAACATAGTATACATGTAACTGATCATCTGAATATGCTGATAAGCAATGTGGTAATAAAAATTAATTCCACAATATTTAGCATATAAGTTCATTTAAACAAATTTGGCTGCCTTCCCCCAACAGATTAACTAAAATTCAAAACTTTTTTTTACATTGCAAGACAGGATGGTTTTTTTTATCCATCTTATCTCGTCAACAACGCAAGTGAGTTAAGGCTAAATATGGATATTTTTATGCAAATAAGCTAATGAAAATTCATAATTTGTATAGTTTATATACAGAGAAGGTTCAAATTGATTTTCTGATACATACACAGTACCCACAGTTTATTAATGCAAGTGCACATTATGACGTCATATTATGACGTCATTGTTCTCTCCCATTCAAGGTATTATATCATATAAACAAAATCACGTCGGCGCAAGGGCCTATCCTATCTAATTTAAGATAAACAATGTATAATATTAAGGTGAATATTCTTAAAATTAATAAAATTGCTGCACAAATCCTATGCACTTTCTCAATTGATAAAAATTTTAGGAAACTTACCCTGGACAGTGAATTTTTACCCTGTTAAAACTTAAAACTGCACGAATAGTAAGTAACCAATTGCACTGCCGACATTTGTGCAGCAATATCTTAAATCCTTGGAATATCCTGCGTCTTTTGATACCTTGTTTCTGTAAAACAAAGTAAGGTATGCCCTTGCGCCGAAGCGATTTTGTTGATGTTTCTTATAAACTTGTGTAGTACAGGTCGATGACGTCATATTATGACGTCATAATGTGCACTGGCTATCGCATGTCGTGGGTACCAAGAATGTATTAGAAAACAAGTCTTAGCATTTTCTGTGCGGTAGGTAGTGGAATTATTGAATTTAATTAGATATTTTGTATAGAAATTTCCATATGTAGCCTTAACTCACATGCGAAATATTATGAAATTTTCTGGGAAAAAGATTTTACAACCTACCTAACGAGGCGACTTCATAATTTTACCCTGAGCTAGGAGAGGGCAAACAAACATTATAATCAAGATGGTCTTGCCAACTTGTTTTGACATTATATTGTCTGACCTACTTTCATATTTTCATAAAATACTTTCATATCATTTATTAAATATGAGTTTGCCTTTTTACTTTAATTATATTTTAAAAAATTAACCATAAAACAATTGTTTTGAATTTGAACATATTTTAGTGAATAAATCAAAAGGATTGAACACAATTACAGGCCATTAAAAGATTTGTAAGAATTTTTGGAAACTCACTTGTTTTATTTCATATTTAGATTAAAATAACTAGAAGCCTGATTTGTTTCCATGGCAACATTTTGATTTACCTGTCACTGAGTTAATTTCAGAAGTTCTATTTAATTATTGAAAAGAAATTTAAATACTTGACATATATTCATACTACATAACAATTTCTTCAGTTTGGTAAAACATGTTCTTAGACGATCTTCTGTGTTATTTGTGATTAATGGAGGGGGGGGGGTCATTCATGCAATAATTTCTTGAAAGCTGTACATTTCCCCATTAATTTATTAATTTTTTTTATTCTCACAAAACATTAGAATATAAAGTTTATTTAATGATACATGGTTACAAATATATTGGTTGTCAAAATGGTGAACAATTTCATTGAATATGACTAAAAAAATCTTTTGGCAAATTGCCAATTTTCATGCAATAATTTCTAGAAAGTTTTTGATTTACCCATTAATTTTTTTTATTCTCATAAAACCTTAGAATATATAGTTTATTTAATGATACATGGTTACAAATATATCAGTTGTAAAAATGGTGAAAAATTTAATTGAATATGACTTAAAAAGTCAATTTTGGCAAATTGCCAATTTTCATGCAATAATTTCTAGAAAGTTTTTGATTTACCCATTAATTTTATTTATTCTCATAAAACCTTAGAATATATAGTTTATTTAATGATACATGGTTACAAATATATCAGTTGTCAAAATGGTGAAAAATTTCATTGAATATGACTAAAAAAGTCAATTTTGGCAAATTGCCAATTTTCATGCAATAATTTTTAGAAAGTTTTTGATTTACCCATTAATTTTTTTTATTCTCATAAAACCTTAGAATGTATAGTTTATTTAATGATATATGGTTACAAATATATCAGTTGTCAAAATGGTGAAAAATTTCATTGAATATGACTAAAAAAAACAAATTTGGCAAATTGCCAATTTGCTAACAGCCTTAATGCTGCAATGAGAATTCGCTTAATCTTCATTCAAATATCTTTGAAGGAAATTAATTTCTCAGATTTAAGTAATATGAGCTCACATAATATAATTTTCATGTGAATTTTTACTTATTAATTGAATGTGCACAAATTTAATTTAAAACAGAGCAAAATTTGCTTAATCAGAGGGTTCTAAAGATAACATCCCTGTTACCATGGCAACCAAATTGAAAAGTTAGACTTTAACATCATATTTATTAAAGACATACCAATTGTAGTAAATGGTGTGAATTTCAGCTAAATCGGAGATATGTCATGTCCACGACCCTATTTAAAATTTTGATTTTTATAGAGAATTGATATTAAGAATTTATATAAAAACGTAGGTTTAACACTTATACGAAACTAAACAATAACCACTTCCGTTTCAAAAGCAAAGTAAATTAAAAAAAAATGTATTGTATACATAATAATGCGAATATTATATATAATTTAAAAATAATTGAAAATATATCCATATGCATATGTAATTTTATAGCAATGCACCAAAAATCCCATGCGCCTTAGAGCATTTCAAGGGCACATACACATGGCTCAAAAAAAAAATTGATGACTTGCTCATCTTGAGTCAGTGAATTTAAAATTTGGGCAAGTACATTCTAGAGGACATTTGTTCTTTGGGAAAGCGTGTTTTTCTGAATATGGTCTGGCTATAGTTCACTTGACAAGGCTTTGTGTCCAAGTTCTATTTAAAGTTGTGCTATTAAGAATATATCAAAACATAAACAAAGTACAGGCAGACGGAACCGAGAGGGACATCCCGTTTACTATATGCCCTCCAACATATCAAGTATAAATTTTACTTTTATAAAACTATAACTTGATTGTGTGACCAGTAAAAGATGAGACTATACACTTTCAACACAAATATATCCATAGGCTTTGTAAAATATGAGTAATATGAAACCTCCTGCCCTTATCCTTGCTGCATCATACTTACTTACAACGATCTTCGCATCTGGATCGATGTACCCCACTGTAAATTCCTAACAACATTTTAAATATTTTCATTCATTAGAATCAGAATCAGAATCAATTATCAGATTCTAGTTCGAAAAATTTGACGTTTTCATGGCTTTTTTCACGATTTTAATATAGAAAACCTATGTACATATGTACGTACAATACTTAAACAGCATGATGTTTGCTTACGATACTCTTACACCCTCCTTATCAGCCAACCAAAGTAGCAGACGACATCAAGATGTGGCAGACGAAGCACTAGAAGTCGTCCTAAACGTAAAAAACTTTTTCAGACAGAAAAAAATGGCTAAATTTGACACATCTCCTTATATACATCCTCCAAACTGGAAACCTTGATCAATATACAGTAAAATATTTGCCAAAACATAGTAGGTATTCGCGCTTTCATTATACATCACACTTCCGGAAAAAGCAATCTCAAAACGTCCAAACGAATTCCTGGAAAAAAATATGATCGATAGATTAATTTACAAAACTTTTAAATTTTACTACTTTCACTTGACTGAATATGGAAAATGTACACCATTTTGATATCCCAATTCAGCCTTCAAATTCAATGCTAGCTAATGCTACAAATAGGTCCGTCCCTTCTGTAATCTAAGCGGTTCAACATCTCACACAGCGGTCAAACATCGATTTGTTTATGTCCGCTTAACAAAACGTAAGAAAGGTCAGACTATTTGTATACATTTTTTAAGGTA